TAAAAATAACATTTATATTAAAATAATTTTCTATTTTATGATTTTATTTAATTTTTTATTTATTAAGAATTTTAAAATAACTATATATTTATATACATTACTCTCTCTCTTCAAATTTATTGATTACATAATCTTAAAATCATAAAATATAATAAAAAAAATATATATATATATATTTGATCTATTTCAAATATATCAACTATTCATATTTCTCAAATGGGGGGAAAAAAGGGTTGCACTTCCAATCACGTCAGCTGATTCAAGTCCAGTTTTGCATCAATAACAGTGGCAGGACGCATGGAGTGATGAAATGAAGAGGAAGGGAGATGCATGTGTGGTGTTGTAGGAAAAAGGATGAGGATAACAGCAATATTGAAGCTCTGTGTTTGGTCTGGCTGCAGGGCTGCGGGTAGCTGAAGCATGGTAAATGTAGATCGAGTGACAGCTCAGGCTCTTTCAAGTGAAGAACTGGCAGATTGGATGGTGAAACATGAATCTGGATGCAATAAAAGCCAGGACAGAGCAGAACTCTCACTCTCTGCTCTCTGTTGCCTGCTCGACCGCACAAAATCACACATACAGTACAGTCTCAATGAATCTCACCTAAAATGACCGCTACTCAAATCAACATGACTGATACAAACTGATTCCAACTAGTGCTGGTTCGATATACCTGCAATGCCGATTAATCTGTCAATACTTAGCTATTTTTTGAAATTCAGGAGACTGCTTGGTTAATTACCTTAAACATACACTAATTTATTTGATTTTTTTTCTGTTTTTGAAAGAAGTCTCTCATCACCAAGTCTGCATTTATTTGCATAAATATATAAAAAATACAGTAACAACAGTAATACTATGAAATATTATTACAATTTACAATAATTGTTTTATAGTTTAATACATTTTAAAATGTAATTTATTCCTGTGATTGTAAAGCAACATTTTCTGTTGCTATTACTCCAGTCTTCAGTGTCAAATGATCCTTCAGAAATCATTCTAATATGCAGATTTGATGCTCAAGAAACACTTCTTGCTGAATTAATTACAAAACAAAACTAATGGTAGTATAAGCAATTTCAGTTACAATAGAATGCCTTTGCAAAATCCCACTCTCTAAATACAACTATGTAAACTTGAACATGCAAAATGATTGACAGGTAAAGAATGATTCTGACTGGTTAAAGACCCAAGGGTCTATTTTTTTTTTTTTTAGCCAAAAGACCAAACACGTTAATTTACAGCATCATTTCATTGGTCATCTTAAATTCTAAATACTGACATCAGCATCTTAAACAACTTAATCCTCAGAATGGGAACTGCAGTGTTGTTATGAACTGTCCTGGGATGTGTGTGATGAAGCAGTCACTCACCTCCTCCATGTTTTCTGTGGGGTGGGCCAGTAGAGCGGCTCCAGGTCGGGTCTCCAGCAGAGAGCACTGACAGAACCCCACACTGCCCGTGAGGAGAGAGTCCGTCACTGTCCTGCGGTCTTCAGACAGATCCCACACACACACCCGCAAGTCCCGGCCCTGACTGACAGCCACAGACACATAAACACATGCACAACAGAACAAAAACACAAGCCCACCATAGCTATCATAAGTTAATAAGTATCACAAATGAACTGAACCAGTTTGGCCAGATGAGGTTTTAGACCAAGACAGTAGAACCAATGGGAAAAGAGATGGGGAATAAGATCTGCAGTCCAGATTTGAGATTGAGGTCACAGTTCGGGTCTCTCCCGCATGATCACGGGGCCCTATGATTTTCATGATGCAGAAAGCACAGACGCAATCACGGAATCCACTCATAAAAACGGAAATTACAACAAAACGTGGAACGTCACAGAACTTGCCAGTTTTTGGATGAATAAATCAAAAGCAGGGCTGTACACTTAATCAAATTGCGACACGGACTGGTGTATATATGAAGACTTTAGATGCAAAAAGTCTGAGATTTTTCTTTCAAATGAGCTTTTTTAATCAGGTTCCTATGAAAATATCATTGGACATTTTTGAAAATACAACAACTGACTAATAACATTTTAAAGTGAAATTACTAAACATAGGAGCCTGATAAAAATGCTAATTTAAAAGAAAAAAAAAATTCTCAGAAAAATCTCAAATGGACTTATAGGTTTCGGCATCTTAAGTCTTCATATGTTTGATTATGAATTATAAATCCAGAAAAATGAAAACAGAAAACACAGAATTTGGAATTAAAACCATATTTTTTGCCACATTGCATTTCAATTAATTAGAAATGCTTTTTTGATTATTCAAATTTCATTTAATCATTACCACAGAAAACCACTGTGTTAATCCAGAAAAATTCATAGGGAAAATTTTTGGGGAAAAATAAAACCGAATTGGGGAAAAAATTAAACAGATTTCTTACACTGTAAAAAAAAAATACAAATCTGTAAAAGTAGGGTGCAATGTATTGTATTAATATGAAGGAATTTTCTGTATTTGTTTTTTACAGGTTTTTTGCCTATATTTTTATATTTTGCATTGGGTCTTAGGGTTATCGGAAATATCCATAAAATTACTGGATAATATTCCAGAAAATTACCAGTACATTTTTTTTTAACAGTGTAGGGCCCCATGTCAGACTAGCTTGACAGACTAAGGGGTGACATACAAAGTACCCCCCCCCCTCCTCTACCTGACAAATCTGCTTCTGCTGTCTTTGAAAGTGTGGAGCCAGATAACAGAGTTCCCAGCATGGCTCTCTAGAATGCGCTCTGCTCTCCTGGTGGTCAGGTTCCACATATGGATTGCACCTTTACCTGACCTAAATCACACAAACATCAAGATTATTATCGTACACAACAAGACAGTATTAAAGCAATCAAAAGGCTGAAGGTTCATTTAATAAGTTTGCACCAACCCAGAGTAGAGAAATGGTGGTCCATCCCCACCACAGCAGAAGTGCAGGCTGTTCACTGTGGCCCCTGAACCCCTCAGGATGTACAGTGGTTCTGGAGGAGGACGGGACATCACTGTAGCAACTGCTCAGTTAACATCAACAATGATCTGTATCCTAGGAAAAATAAATGAATAAATAAAACGGTGCCAGTACTGACATGGTCATTGATATATTGTGTAAAAAATCAATTTCCTGGTTAAAATCACTTGGTCATACGTATATATATACAGTGGGTTAACTTAAATGATTTTAGCAAATGGCTGCAATATAACAAAGAGTGAAAAATTGAAGGGGGTCTGAATACTTTCCGTACCCACTGCATATATATATATATATATATATATATATATATGATATGTCTTAGTTAACACTGTAAAAACTAAAAGCCTTTGGGCAAAAGGAAGATGTGATCATGTTATTTTTTTCCTTGTCTTCCTTCTCCTTTGTAAAACCTCTCTCAATATGTCATAAATCACGAGCGAGACAACTTAATTACTGTAAACAGACTGGAATCTGTCGTTTTTAATTTTTATTTTCATCAACAGCTAACAAAAAAAGGGTTTCAAAGCACACACGAGCGCAAATGGCTCTGAGGGCCACAGTGGAGATGCAACAGACCACAAAAATCCAGACGGAAATTAGACGATTAGACGTGAGCAACAAATCCCTTTCAAACGGTCGCGAAAAGCTAAATCTGTTTATGTCTTCATAAAAGAAAACATTAAAAACTTGACACATTGATGTGGTTTTGAACCTGTAAGACATGGAAGTCAGTTTCAACTCTTCTTAGAAATGCTTATGATGCTTGACACTGAGAAGAAGTTTCATAACTAACCATATTAATTATTTACCCATTTAAAAGGGAAGCAAAAATGACACCAATTAAAATGAAACAAAATTAAGTCAATTAAACCAAAATAAATACATAGCCACAAACAGAGCCATTTTTCTCCTTTGAGTGGCGACTGATATTGCTGATTTTAGATATGAAGCCGCCCGGTTAATGAAGACCCTTCTGCTCAGTGTCATCTCTGGTCACCTCTGCCCTCGCGCTGAAACTGGACCCACAGGTATTTTGGGGAAGCTCATTTCGGAAGGTTAGTGGTTAAATTGTGCATGTTAATCTGTCAAGCGGAGATTCTTCACTGCCCTACCTTCCTAATTAAGAGTCGAGCCCCCATATGAACCCCTTACAAAGGGGACAGTCACTAAATGCCCCTCTAGTTTCTTACAGGAGAGCTGGAAGGGAGGCAGTGGGATTAGAACCCGTGACTATCAGTCGCCATCAGGCCTGTATAGGAGCCAGACCCCGTCTACTGCACATATAGGGGCTGAAATTAAACCTCTGGTTTGGGCAACTGTCTGTCCAGCTGAATTATATCTCAAACTGATGCTATTTACCTTTCTAGTGTGCTTAGGAATGGCCTACTTGTTGTTTTATATAAACATTTTAATTTTTTAGCAAAGGCGGAGGAATGCACTACCGGACAATTGTCTGTGTAACAGTGAGGTTTTCAAAGCTTTAAAAAGGATTAACATGCCCGCACTGTGAAGTTCGCTGCACCAGGGCTGCTTGACACACGAGTCTGGAAACACACACATTCTCGTTGTGCAAACACAATGCATCAAAACATACCTCTGCCAATATGGTGCTGTCAGTCATGAGATGAAGAGAAATAAAGATACTAAGATAGGGATGGAGTAGAAAAACAGGCTGAGGAACTAGGCCAAAGAGTCAAGCCAAGAGTATGTTAACCCTGAAATGAGGGAAACTCTGGGTTTTCCGTTTCAGAATGGGAGGTATGTCAAACCCGAGAAAGCAGGGTAAGTCAAGCCCGTTTCTGAAAGAGAGATAACTTGTACTCAGAGTCAGTTAGCATGGTAACTAGCTCTGTGAACCTAACCTGGTCAGGAGCAGGTTTTCTTCGGTAAACCCAGAGTTTCTTTCTGTCACCGCCCTCTTTTTAAAGCGCAAGCGATGTTTAAATACTTCATTCATTCATGCACGCTGCAAAAATGCTTTTCTTACCAAGTATTTTTTTTCTTATTTCAAGTACAAATATCTAAAAAAATTCTTAAATCAAGATGGATTTTCTATATAAGAAAATGATAGCCTATAAGATATTTAATCTTGTTTCCTGGGGGGGGGATCTAATTAAGTGCATTTTACTTAAGTAAAATTATCTGCCAGTGTGGTAACAAAAATGATCTTAATGCAAATAGAAAACAAGATTATTCGGAGTGTCTATTACTAAGTGCAAATTTACAGTAGCTCTACCCTCCAATGTCACACAAGGTTAAATACGACGCACGTGAATAATGGCTTCAGTGGTGTAGGCAGTAAAACTAGCTTGTGACGCGATTGACCGGGTTCGAGTCCAGCTTTTGCCGAGCTCGTTCTTCTCACTTTTCCCATCACATATCACATTAGAATTTATTTTCAATAAAAATGAAGAAAATGTTCTAAAAGTGGAAGTGCCTAATGAGTGTTTAATAATGATAAAAGTATTTATAATTTTAATAAATATAATAATTTACACTGTTATTGCATCCTTTTAATGTACAACAGTACTGAGGTGCAAATAGTATGTATCCACCAGAATAAAGTATAAATAGCATCTAATTATCATTTACACTTATTGCAAAGAACTGCTACTTTTACATGGTAAATAGAATAGCCTATATCGCTATTTGCACTTAGCCTACTGTAAATAGGATCTATCGCTAAGAACGTATGCTAATTCCACTAAGTGTAAAATAGTCGCTGCTGTATTTTTCTTACCCTATTGGCAGATCATTTGTAAAAAGAAAAATGCACTTAAATTATTATCATTATTATTTTTTGCCCGTGGGATACCATGAAAATGAATAACCTATCAGTTCAAAACAATAACCTACCATTCTGCCAGTTTTCACCTGTGATATTATAACAGTGATAAGAATTAAACTTGTATTGACTCTGAAGTATGCAACGTCTTTTTGTCGGGTGCTGTTGCCATGGTGCATCGTAATATCGGAGCTCCATTGATCATGGCTTTTCATAGTCGTTGTACACGCGCTAAACTCAGAGTCAACCTACTCAGAGTTGATTGAACTAACTCAGTTCAACTGTTCTGAAACCGAAAACTCAGAGTTTCCCATCTCAGAGTAAGTCAACTCAGAGTTCAAGTTTTAACTCAGAGTTGGTTGAACCTCCTTATTGAAATGAGCCCCAGGAGAGACACGTAATATGATATGGGTCACAGTGCAGTTCATTTAATGACATTATTAAATGTGCAATGTATATTTGAGGTGATATGTCTACCAAAAATGAAGATTGCCATCATTTACTCACCCTTATATCATTCCAAACATCTATATGATAGACTTTTAAAACTAAATCTGATGCAAACAACATTTGACCCATTGATTTTCATTGTAGAAGTTCTTTGCGTTCTACTGAAGAAAGAAATTCACACAGATTTGGAATGACATAAGGGTGAATAAATTATGACAGAAATTTTATCTTTCGGTGAAATACCCCTTTAAGTAAAAAATTACATAAGAGTGAGAGTGTGATTTAGCTTTTCTACAACATTTCATTTTAACATCAACTAGGCCTAACTGACATTTCAGAGACAATAGTTTGTTTATTTTTTGCTGTCAAGAAAAACTACTCCAGTTAAAATGCTTCAAAAAACAACTGGAAATCTAGATGGCAAATAAACAAGTAGAGTCATACAAACAACGAAAAGTTCTTGTGCTGTTGTGAAAGTTCAGTTACATTTGTGGACTGTATCTGTTATATTAATTGGCATTACATCATCCATCAACAAACACACTCTTTAGATCTCAGATTCAGCCCTTAAAATCCCCAACCAACTACCAGCACTAATGCAGGGGCTTCTTTTACCATAGTTGAGTTTCACTGCTTCACAACACTTACACTTAAGTTTCAGGAACACTCAAGACATTTGCACAGACCAGTCACTGAACTTCAGTCATAAGCTCTGACGGAATACAGTCTTTTCATGAGTCACAACTTTGAGGGCCTCTTGTTTATCCACAATGGAATACAACTTGACTATGGAAAAAGACTGAGACAACAGAAAACCTTCAAATTATTCCAAGCAAAAAAAGCAAGCCAGTATCAATGCATTATGACACATCAATCTGACAATGAAAAATCAATGCATCAGTTACAGAATTGAACTTATTTACTGTAACAATACTGAGTGTATTAAACATTGATATCTTATAAAATAATTTACAACCCACTGCTGGTAAAAATTCACTATATCCAGATTCCTAATCTACTGCTGGCACTACTGATGTAGCAATGGCAGATACAGGACTTGAAAGAATGCATTGGGAATAAAGAGTATACCTTGAAAAAAGCACGGAAAAAAACATCATGTAACTGAATCAAAGCAAACTATAACCAAATTTCTGATTTCTTTAATCAAATTAAAGTGTGAATATCATGGTACCGTGTCAAAGTAAGGCTATCCAAATCACATTTCAATGCATCACAATTTTAATCAAATTTTTATCAGATAAAATAATCACAGCACTATTGGTACAAGAGGCAGAAATCACCAGGAATATAATGCAGATATCTGAGTTACAATACTGCAATTCTAGTGTGCAGTTATTCAAAATGTTGATATATGATCTGTTTCATGAATACATGCTTCTCATCCACATTGGATTTGTACAACACTTTGTACAATTATATCCTTATCTCGTTTAGTTTAGCTTAGTTTAGATTCTAGTCGAATAGAAAGAAATGAGTGTGAATTAATCTAATGCCACATTTTTACGGTCTTATTTTTTCACAAAAATAATAAATATAAAAAATATTTACACTATAATATTATACTAAATATTTTTTTGAAAGAAATTAACAATAAAATGATAAAAAATTAATTTTACAAAAATATTTATATTTTAAATAAATTATGTTCTTTCTATTTAAAGAATCTTTAAAAAAAAAAAACAGGTCACAGTTTCCACAAAATATTAAAAAGTGCAATTTGTTTTCAACACTGATAATAAGAACTGTTTCTTGAGCACCCATCAATCAGCATATTAGAATGATTTCTGAAGGATCATGTGACATTGAAGACTGGAGT